TCATTTTTGGTGAGTGCTATTGATATAGAGGTCATTAAGGGAGAGTCCATGAGCTATGGGCAGTTTCCATGAGTTCCGATTGATATTGTGCAAGATAAAGCTTAGAATTTGTGTTTGGTGTTTTGATTACTATGCCTTGATGAACTTGATACTTATGATTGATCTACTTGATACGTGTGATTGTCATACTTGAAACTTGATGATTGTTGAACTGTGACTATTGGACTATAATCATGAGAAATTGTGAAATGTGAACTGTTAGGTTTGGCTGATTTCTATGCAGGTTGTAGTTTGAGGAGGTTTGGTTAGGATGAAAGGAGTACTCGTATTTCTATCTAGTTTTGCTTTGTTTAGTAGGTTGCTTGTTGTACCGTATTGTTTGGTACTCACTCCTTGCTTGTACATTTGTGTAGATTTTGATCTCGATCCGTGTGATCTTTCTCTTCTTCGTCTATTTCTGAGGCTTGTCAAAGGACTTGAGAGGTAGTTGTTTGTCATCCCACCGGACCCTCTTCTTCCTTTATGTTTATGCTTTGTTATATTTGAAAAATAAAAATTTGAGACTTGTACTTATCGTTCAAATCCGCACTTTATACATTAGTGACCTGTACACGTGACAATCAAGTTTTGGGGTTATTATAGAATGACTAAGTTTTCCACTCTTATGTTATTCTTGTTTTACTTTCCGCATCTCTTTTTTATTTTGGATTTGAGGCTGACTTGTCTTGACGGGATAGACGAGTGTTATCATGTCCATTTTTGGATCGTGACAACCGTTGTGGTATTAATACACAATTTAATGTTGCAAGAATGATTAAAGACATTTAGACCTCTCTTAATTATTTTGTTTTTCCAGATTGGAGAGAGCACAAAAATGTAAATTGCCAACTCAATAAGTTAGTAGTTACTCCTCCGTTCCTTTTTAGATTTCATGGTTTTCTTTTCTAGAGTCAAACAATAAGAATTTTGACTAATATTTTACAATGTATTTTTTCATCATATTGATATGCAAAAAATTACAATTTATAGTACTTTCCATTTAGTTTTTGAATATATAATTTTTGGTTGAAAGTATCGAATTAATGTAATCTAATTTAACTTTAAAAACTAGACAAATTGGCTTTCAAAAAACGCAATATGACAACTAAAAAGGAACGAAGGAGTAATAGCCTTATGCTTATTAATTATGGAATTTATTGACAACAATGCTCTCTCTTTCTCCTAATTTTATGATAGGAAAATAAATTAAGTCAAATGACCATCACTGTTATCAACTTTGGGGTGGGGCATATCATTTTTGGTGGATAATGGACCAAGAATACAACAATTGAAGGCTAGAAAATTACAAAAGGATTATAATCAGAGGCGGACCGACCCCTATAGGTTGGAATGCAGGTTCACTCGTTAACTTCGGAAAAAATCATGTGTATATATGTATATCTATCTAGAGAAACTGGAAAAAATTAGGATATTGTAACGACTCGGAAAATGATAGGTTAAACTAGAGCCTAATCGTGAGGGTCAACGTCAAAGTACATGTTAGACTCTGTAGTTGAAGGACCCTTTTTAGGTTTGGTAAGGGGTTGCAAGGGCATGTGCCAAGGCAAGGGGGAGCAAACCCTAGACAAAAGCCAAGGCTGCCTAACCCTTGACCAAGCACTGCTAGGGTTCACGACCACGTTCACGACCAGTGGTCTTGACCACGGTCCGTGAAGACCCCTTGGCCTTGTGGGAGTTGAGTTAAGTTGTGGAGGCTACTGCCTCAAAGACCACGGGCACCACCACGAGTCGGGGTGCCCTAGACGGTCCGTTTAAGTAGTCGTGAAGATCACTTGGTTGCATGGGAAGCAAGGCAACTTGGCCAAGCTACTGCCTCCATCACCACGACCATCACCACGACTCGTGGTCTTGACCACATATCATGAGAGGTCTCGTGGTCTTCCCTTAGGCCCTTGAGGGGTTGGCAAGGTGGAGAGGCACACTGGTCAAGGGACCACGAGGACCACCACGAGTCGTGGTGCCCCTCACGACCAGTCAAAGTGGGCGTGGTCCCTGACAGGGTTGCCTTAGTTGAGGCAATTTAAGTAATTTCTTATTAATTAATGAGTGGGGTTGTTTTAAATTGTTTTATATCACTAGTATATATAGTTTTAAGTCCCTAAACACTTCATTTACTCCTTATTTCTCCAAAACCCAAATCAAATCAAAGAGTTCTTCCTTCTCAATATTTCTCTCTCTAAAAGTTCCTAAAAAAGAAGAAGTGAGAGCTAGGTTTGTGAATTCAAGGTGTTTCTTTCTCAAATTTCTTGGGGATTCTTACTAAAGGTATGATAGTCTTCATCCTTGACTTAGTTTCTTCAAGGCGCCAATTTCAAAGTTGATTTCAAATTCTCAATGTTTCCCCAAAAACCCTAGTTTTCAATCGTGGCATGGGTTCGATTCCAAATGATTTTCAAAGGCTTTATTGCATTGAATTATGAATGAATTGTGGTTTTAAAGATGAATTAAGATGATTTCATCCTAGAACCCATGTTTTTCCCCAAATTCTTAAGTGGTGAATTGAGATTGGGAATTGGTTGATTATGTAAGTATGTTGAATTGGTGATGCTTATATTGGATTAGTTATTGAATCACGTCAATTTCCTTATCTATTGTAGTATCTTAGATTTATGGGTTGATGTTGGTTCATAGCCCTAAGGGGGCAATTTCATGAAGGATTATGCATGATTATGGTGTGAAGTTTATATGTGTGTGATTTCAATGAAAGTGTTATGATCATGTTTAGAATGTAATTGTGTTATGATTGAATGTTATTTCTCAATTAACACCTATGAATGATGAGGCTATATGTGAAAGGTGATTCTCACTTACACACACTCATGAATAACTAATAAATGAAGTTTCTATGGCTATGTGAGACAATAGACTTCCGATATTCTTGAATGTTTTAAATGAGTAATTTTGATTGTATGATTTTAAAGAAAGTTTTAAATTCCACATTATTTCTATGTATCGAATGTTATTAATGCTAAGAGGCTTGTACGAGACCCCTTCAGGGTCAAGTACGTCGTGTAACTTCCAGGGTATAGGCTCGGGTCGTTATAGATATAGTTAAATGTGCACCCATGAAGAGTATAAGAGTGTCATTGTGTTGTTGGTACAAGTCAGATGAACCACCTGCGAAACCTGGGTTGGAATCCAACTAGAGCGCTATATCATTGTTTTTTATTATTGATTTATCTAAGGTAATATTGGTGCACCTGAAGTCTTTAAATTCGAAGAAATGTTGTCAATAGAGGCATATGCAGGAGGGGTCACTGGGTTCACATCAATCAATGCTCTCCTCTCAAAATCAAATATAGTAGTGTTATAAATATTTACGTATACATGCGTGAACCCACACTCAGAGTATCATATTATGCAATGATGATCGGTGCACCTCTTCAAGTGAGGTTAGAAATTTGAATCTTATATCTATCTTGTTTTATTTTTCTTTCTGAAATTGAGTAACACCTCTCTAAGTAGTTATTGAAAGCACTTTATATATATAGCTTCAATCTTTCAAAATTTTCAAGTTTGTCACATTAGAAATTCCTGATTTTTAATTAAGAGATAAAGGTCAAAAACACACCTAAATTATCCCATTTTTTTGAGTTTCATACCTAAACTATTGAGAGTGTGAGTTTCACACCTAAACTATCACTTATTAGTTTGAGAAACACACCTCAGTGGTGTGTGTAATACACTCTCTCTTTTATTTACAAAAATTTTGTCACATGACAAATATTTTTTTTTAAAATTGATCAAACCTCAAAGTAGATCAATTTTTTAAATGATTGATCAAACCTCAAATGACGTTCACAAATAATTTTTAAATTGATATAATCAAACCAAATTGTTTCTTATCAAAAAAGAAATTCAAAATTAGCTAACTTAAATTTTTTGGTGTATAAAATTGGTGAACCCCAATTCAAGGTTGAAAATCAATGATGGATTATCCCATGAGATCAACTATCTCACTTTTTAAATGGGATAATTAATCTTACATTTTTGTTATTTTAAGATAAAAATTAATAAAATATTTAAAAAGTTGATCAACTTTTTTTAAAAAAAAATTGACATGTTTTCAGCAAACATAACTATTGTATCTTTACAATCCTACAATACTTTCAACAAATTATAAAACACAATGACACTTTCTATTTTTTACGGTAAATCGCTAGCCCGCCTTTCTCCACCTCTCACAATATTTTTCTTTCTAGATCTCCTCCGCCCCCTCTCTCCCCCTTTATCACCCTCTCTTGCAAAAAAAAAAAAAGGATTTTGTCTAGATCTCCTCCTATAATTTTCTTCTCTGCAATTTTTTTCTACAATCGTATTCCTAAAATCAAATTTATACTTTTAAAAAAGTATGGACTCAAATCAAATCAACAGAAAATAAGGAATTTCCCCCTTAAAATAAGAAAATCTCAGCATTCAAATCAGAAATAATAGAGAAGAAGAAATTAGTACCTTCCAGAGAGCTACAAAAACATAAAATATAAAATATAATTACACATATGTACTTAAAATTAAAATTGTGAAATACAGATGTACAGAAAAGACTATTATGATTCCCGAATGAACCGAGGAAGAGTTGAGACATGGAAAAACTTATCTATTATTTGCTTATTTCTAAGTACGTATCATCCATTACGTTACAAAGAACTAAACGGTCACGTCCTCTTCGAACATCTACATGTCCTCCTTTAAAATACTAATATGATCAAATAATTTATATAGGAAATATGACTATTTTATTTCTATTCGTTGTTATGATGTTCGATATTCAACTAACAAAATTGTATTTTGCTTTAAATTCAAACAAGATATATGTAGTAATAATTTTAAAATGTCATTGTATAAAGTAATTTTAGGAATATTTACTTTATGTCCCTCCCCTTTCTCAACATTTCGAAAGATCACATCCTCAAGTTTTCCCTCTCAACTCAAACCAATGTGCCGCAATCACAAAAAACCTAGTACCATCTGTTTGTGAAAATGCCTCAAAGAAGCTCGAAAGATCAAGAAAAACCAACACCTACTCTCAGAAGATCTCCGCGGCTTAATGCCGCTGCTGCTGCTACCGAAGTCCTCAAGAAACAGATTGAAGTTTCAAAAAGCCCCACAAAATCGACTACCAGGTTGCGAAGATCTTCAAGATTGAGTATTGGAACTCCGCGGAACAATGGTGAGGTTAAGAATTCAGAGAGAAGGGTAACTCGAGGTTCTGCTCGAGTTTGTGTTGCCATTGACGATTCAGTTGAGAAAAGAAATGGGGTTGTTACTAGAAGTGGAAAAGCTCGTGTTTCTGGATGTACATTAGGTGGTAGGATTGAGAGACCTGTCCCGTCATCTGAAGTAGTTGGATGTGGGGAGGATGACGACAATGGCGGCGTGGGAAAGAAACAGGCAGGCTTGAAGAGGAAGAGAACCCAAGGAATGGAGGAGAATAATGTTGTTGTTAATGGGTGGACCAATGAACAAGAGCTGGCGTTGCAAAGTGCTTATTTTGCGGCGAAGGCAACACCTAACTTCTGGAAGAAAGTTGCTAAGATGGTAATTTTTGCTACTAGTTATTTCCTGTGATTTTAAAATTGGGTTGTGTTTTATTTTGCCTTTCTATAATTCTATTATCATGGCAAACTAATCAAGCTGAGCATTGAGCATTTATATACTTGATATATTGGGAAATTTGTCTTTACATTTATGTCTATTAGGCCTTTTTTGGTAGGAGTGAATAACTAGTTCCGGGATTCATTTTAGGATGAGTTTATCACGTGTTTGATTTGGATAAAATGGCGGAATAACTAACTCCGGGATAGCTTGTTCCCATTCAACTGAGCCCTAAGTGTCAAAAACCAGGTATAATCTAGGATTTCAGGTATGATACAAATTGCTTGGCTGGATGCTTTTGGTTCTTATATTCGAGCCTACCGTGATCTTTGTCTCTTAGATTGTTGGAGATGTTATGCATCAGCAGTATCAATGTAAGAAGGAAAGTAATTTTGCAAGTGTAGAAGCTGATAGGTTGGGGATGGTCTAATCAATTTTAGTCTGAATTGTGAGCTCTCATAGTTAAGTTGGATTTAGTTCAGGAGAAGTTTAGAATGACACGAGAGTTTCAGATAGTCTTGTATTGTCTTAAGATGCAGGATCACTCAACATTTAACCAATTTCAAATGGCTTCTGTTACTTTTTCCTCCTCCTCTTTCAAGGGTTCGGCTTCCCCTCCCTCCTGTCCTCTTGGCAAGCAAAATGAACCTGATTGCCTTCTTGCTGCAAAAGATTTGCTGTATAACTTTGGGACCAGACAAATTGTCTAACTCTTGGCTCTTTACAAATGTGAACTGGGAATTTTATTTCTTTACGGAAGAGAAACAGTAGACGGGTAGAGACAATCTCTTTCCATAGTTAACATTACTAAAATCACCCAAAAGAAGAAGATATTCTCTGTAAAAGATACACAATATCAATCTTAGATCAACTACAACTATATTTTCTCGCGTCTCATTCCCTTCTCTATTATCCTCCGTGTCCTTTTCATTTGTTAATAAGACCTAATTCTCCAGCTCCCTTTAGTGGCTTCCTTCCCCTACCATCTCTACTTATTTTGCCTGCTTGCTTCCATGTATGCTTCATTTTGCTTGGACAGTCAATGTCATCTTGTCCAGTATGAACTTCTGTCACCTTCCAAATTGCTCCATAATCTTCAACCCTCTGCTGTTTGGTTGGTTCTTGTTGAAGAAAGAAAAAATCCCACATCGTGGTTAATGAGATGTGTGGTTTCTTTCTAAGGCTTGCTCTATCCTCCTCCCTTTGAGCTAACTATTGGGGTGTGAGTTAGGCTCAGGACCTAATTTTATATGGTATAAGAGCAGGATCCATCTCACCTACCCCAATAGCTAGTTCAAAGGGAGAAGGATTGGGCAAGCCTTACAAAGAAACCACTTATTTCATTAACCACCGATGTGAGGAGGATTGTGCAAGCCTTATAAAGAGACTACTCATCTCATTAACCACCGATGTGGGATTTTTTCATTCTTCAACAATTCTTAATGGAAATGCTAAAGAGGAAATTGAATTTATTTGTCGCTGGAAGAGGGAGAGAATGAGACAGATGGAGATTAGAACTTACAAAATTTGTTTATTAGGATTGAGAGGTTTTTAGTTGTTTCAGGTATTCTTTTGTTTCATTTTTATAGACACCTAGGGTAGAAAAGTGGAAGAAACACTGTTCTTCTAATTTGAGATTTTGTGCGAGTAAAAATGAGTCCTATATACTTGTAATACGGTATTCGAAAACTGAAATTCCATTAATACTGAAAGGAGAAGTTTCTTATTGAAGTAGACGGCATTTTGGAGTGGCATGAATGGAATTAAGATAATCTTTATTCAGACAAATGGAGTAAGAAAAATGATACTATAATTATTTGCGTGATGATTTTATTTTCCCTTCTTATGCCATGAAATATCGAAATAGCAAGATAAATTCTTGCAGGAGTGAGAAACCAAAAGAGACAACAAGCATTATTGGGGAAAAAGGAAGGGTTGATCTCTTATACTTCGGAAATTTATGATGTTGCCAAAATAACTCCTCCAGTAGTTAGATATAACTTGTGGTTCACAGAGATTGAAGGACAACAAGATTGATCTCTAAAGAATAACATCAAAGCCGTTGAAGCCTCAGTTGTTAGAATATAAGTTGGCGAACTCTGCACTTTGGCGGCTGCACCCGTGTCGACACGACGTGTGTGTGGGATCCATACCAGATATGGTCACAATTTTGGGTACTTACCAAAATCAAAAGAGAAATTTGAGACAAATACAATGATTTTGGATACAACTTAATAGCAAACAGTAAAGAGATGCAAGATGCATTTGTACTCTATAATAATTACAGATTCTAGCTTGCACCCAAAATTTGTGCATTCCTTTCCTTCCGAATAGTCCATCATAATTTAGGCATATCTTTTATAACTCTATTTTTTGATGTTTGAATTATTTTAAACCGAATCCTCGCACCCATATCCGTACCTAGATTCATACCCCCTAATCTTAAAATTTAGATCATGAAGGATCCGACATGTAGATCCACACCCTTATCAGACACCCTCAGCCTCACCCGAGTCCAAGGAACTTAGGTCAGAATTAATTGAGAATTGCTACAGATTGCATGGGAAGACTGACTAGTGGACTTACTTCATCTGGTGAAGGTGACTTTTAACAAGAACATTTAAAATCTGTGAGCAGCATGACAATGGTGCTGAGGAGCAGTACTTGATACTTCAGGCAGCCAAATGCCATACTGGTTTATCTATTGCTTGACACTTGTATGACGGCGCGTCTATTGATCAAAATGAAATAAAATAAAATGAGGTCGTGCCGAAAATAAAAGCAAGGTAGCAAGTTGATTCTGCATAGAACCTGTGCTTTAGGAAGAGGTTGAAGGGCTTGTTCGGTATAGGCTTGGTGATGTTTCCAAAGCCACAGGATGAATTACAATACTTCAGGTGATGAAAAAATAAATTACCACAGTATTTCACGCTTATAAGTTAGGATGTAGGACTTCAGTTTGTCCCTGAGGCTCAGCATAGCGTTGATAGGTTAATACCATCTTCCTTGACCTGTTTTGTCTCTGCTTTCTGATGATGTCTCTTTTTATATTTTACTAATGGAAAGGACGATGTAGGCCAAAAGTGAGGCTGTCAGACTTGTAGAAAGTTTGGCAGGAGCATTTGATCATTCGCTTATTCCTGGGTTTTGGGTGGTTGATCCTGAGGCCAGAGCTTTACCAGCTGTGACTGGAAGATGGAAAGAGGTTCCAAATGCTGAACTGTCGCGTCGTATTAATATACATAGAGGAATAAGAATTACATGGTAGTGGATTATCTAAAATTGCTTATGGTGGTGTTTTTTATTTTTGATCCAAATATTTTTGCATACCTACAGGCTACAGCTCATTAGGACACAAGCTGCTAAGCAAAAAACCTTGAGATCTAACATAACTTAGTACTCCCTTCGTTTCAAAAAGAATGGTCTGGTTTAACTTGACACGGAGTTTAAGAAATTAAAGAAGACTTTTGAATCTTGTGGTCCTAAATTAAAGTTATGTCAAATGTACAAAATTGCCCTTAATCTTGTGGTCTTAGACATGCCACGTGGAAAGCTAAAAGTAAAATGTTACCAAAAAAGGAAAGAGGTCATTCTTTTTTAAACTGACTAAAAAGGAAAGGAGGTCATTCTTTGTGAAATAGAGGGAGTATATACTTCTCGTCAGCTTCCAATTAGGAATTATTTGAATTGTTCTCCACCTAGAAATGAATCTAGATTCTAGGTCCTTTGTTAATATCAATATGTTAGCAAGTGGTGTTTGTAAGCTATGATTTTCTGATATCTGCAAATCAAATATATAAATCGAAGAAAGTTATGGTAGTTATCACTTCGGGATCTTCGTAGTTGTCCTTGTCAATGTTGACATGATAAATTTAGTTTATAGTAATAATTTTGAACCTCTGCTTGTGATATACATGATCATCTGAGTAAACTTTGGACTTGTATTGCAGGTACCTGGGAAATCAGCAAAGGATTGTTTTGACAAGATAAATTCGGATTTTATAACCCCACCTCAGCCTCAACCACGTTCAAGGGTTAAAAAGATGAATACATTATCGCTTTCTCCGTGTGCAACTAAATTGCTTCAGTCCACTGAGAAAAACACAAACAAGCGGAGACATAGCAAGCCGAAGAACCATCTCTCACGCAAGGCTGTGAGACAACTACTGGAAAAGCAAACAGATGCAGATCGAGATAAGGGAGCAGACTTCTTCAATGCTCTTGAATCATCAACAAATCCAACTGATGGGGCATTTTGCCAGGACACAATTTTTGTCACCCCAGAGCGCAACAAAGAAAGTTTGCTTAGAAAGTGCCTGGAGAGATCGTCTTTAACCCAGAAAAAACACCGTTCCCGATTAAGTGATTCATCTGGAGCAACTCTTACCAGCCCACCAGTTCTAAAGCCAATTAAGAATAAGGCCCTACATGAGAGGTATGTTGATCAGCTACATTGCAGGGAAGCAAAGAGAAAGGCAGCCACTTCAAAGACAGCAAAGGGCAACCAAAACAAGAATGAGAATGTCATAAAGCCGGATGTGATTAAAGCTGCGAAAAATGCTTTAATATCTGAAGCAAGAGATGCAATCAACCAATTTCAAAATTTACAGACACGCGCCATGAACAGTTTCAATGATGATGACGATGATGATTACTATGATGAGAACCATAATTCAGACGATGACGAGGATGCCAGATAAAATGTGGAGGACATTGGCTTTTCGCCCCGTGATGCTAAAAGCCACATTGTGTTACCCAAATTTCAGTAAGCTAACCCCAACTGTATAACAGAGCTCTGAACCAAATTTCTTGATTTAGAGTTTTTGCAATAAGGCCTGTTGTGTATAGACATGTGAAGTGTATTACTAGTGATAAAGCTACACAAAGTAGAAAAAGTGGTCAAAAATAGTAAATTTTCTGCAGGGAGAATAGTTTGTTACTTTGATGATAAAAAGTTTGACATTCATATTGTTCAAGTCGCTGCAAATGTCCTCGATAATTAAAGCCCAACTGTTATCTATATGAAAATGTGGAGAGCCAATGACTATGCTTAGTAGACTTACGGGTCATTTTCTAGGGTGTATAAGAATAGTGTGAAGTAGAGCGTATTAGTAATGCTGACATTGCAAATTGAAAAAAAAATGCTACTTTTGTTTTAGATCTTGTTTAATACTTTTGAGAATTTAGCTAAGCAGGGGAATTTATGATTTGATATAAATATCGTGTGGATAAGTTTTACCAAAAAGAATTCCGCCAAATCACATTGGACTTTCAATGTTAAGACTTTCGTTAGGACTGGGCCCTAAAACTAAGACCATCTCCAACCCTACTCTATTTTACTCTCCATTCTCTATATTTGGAGAGTAAAATAGAGAATGTCCTTTCCAACCACTCTCTATTTTACCCTCTACTCTTCAATTATAGAGAGTTGAATAGTAGTTCTCCAAATTTGGAGAACTACTATTCATACTCTATTTCACTTTTTGAATATTATATTTACTATTTTGTAATTAACATATTATTTTTCATATAAGCCTATTAATTAAATCTCTAATATTTACAATTCTTTTTAAATGTAATATAACATTTTTAAAAATATTTTATTTTATATATACTACTTTCATCTCGAATTAATAATATTTGAAATATTTTTTTAAATTTTCGTCACTTTGTGATACAATTTGATGTTATTATTAATTTTCACTATGAAGAATGCACAAAATTTAAATGATGAGATAAAAATTTTAATTTAAAAATATAATACATAACATAATAATTTAAAGGGAAAAAGGAAAAATATACCCCCGAACTTTCGAAAATGGTATGTCAATACCCTTCGTCATACTTTTCGGACATCAGAGCCCTTGTCGTCCAATAATCGGTGCACATTTACCCCTCCCACTAACGGAAGAATAATTAGAGACACGTGGTGCAATCCTATGGCTCAACCCGACTTGATAGATTAATTAACCCAAAATTCAAATATCCACCCAACAACCTGTTTAACCCACCCGATACACCCATTACTCACACTAATACTAACCTATCTAAAAATCTAAAAAGATCTTTTTGTGAAACCCGCCACCATCGTGAAGCCAAAGAAGGCACCGGCACCGGTTGGGAAGAAGGTTGTTGCCGCATAGCCGAAAGCAACAATCCCGAAGAAGAAGGTTGTAGTGAAAAAGGCCAAATCCGCAGCAGCAGCAACACCAGCAAAGAAAGCGAAGAAGACGGTGACTACTCCGGCTAAAGCAAAGCGGTGAAGAAATCTACAGTTGCTAAAGTGAAGAAAACTCTGGTGAAGAAAGTTGGGAAGAAGCCAAAAACTATTAAGTCTCCAGCAAAGAAAGCGAAGAAATGAATAAATTAATCTGAATTGGGTGTTTGAATCTTTAAATTACTTTTACATTTCTCTAGTGATGATATCAAATCCACCATTTTTCTTCATGGGTTTTTCATTTTTCTTCTTCCCCTTCCCCTTCTGTTTGCAGATTTTACTCGTTCTCTATAGACTCCATTGTTAGGGTTTGTTTGTGTTAGAAGTATGACTTGTGCTCTATCATTTTCTTTGAATAGTTATAGATTTGGATGAAGAAATGATGAATTAAGCCAAAATTTTAGGCGCTTTTTCTTTAGGATTTTAGAGAGTTTATTTGTGGGTAAATTGGATCGGTTAAATGGGTTATGGACGGGTTTTGAAATTTGGGTTAAAAAATTGGTCAATCCGGGTTGTGATGTAGGATTAAGCCACGTGTACAGAATGATTGTTCTGTTAGTGGGAGGGGTAAATGTGCACCGATTATTGGACGGCAAGGGCTCTGATGTCCGAAAAATATGACGAAGGGTATTGACATACCATTTTCGAAAGTTCGGGGGTATATTTGTCCTTTTTCCCTAATTTAAATACAAGATAACAATACAATGCATAACATAATAATTTTAAAAATCACAACATTAATTTAGTAATCCGGTAGGTCATTTCTAGATTTAACGATATTCAAAAAAGGAATTAGTGTATGATTTAGGGAAGTTGTGGTGGTGATTGTGGTTGTGCTAGTTGATTTCTTTTTTCAATTATTCGTAGTTGTTCTTTAGAAATTTAGAATAAAATATAGTTTAATATTAAATTAAAAAATTCAAAAAATTAAAATTTTATATTACATGAAATTATATAGGATAATTATTCGGTAAAAAAGAAAGAAAAGATTTATAGTATGAAATACGAAAACAAAAATGAAATAAAAATAATAATATAATATTGAGGAGAGAGATTTATTTATGTGGAAAAGACCCCGATTTTCTCAAAGATTAGAGATGTCTCCCTATATAAAGCAAATTCTTGGGTTAGGGTCCTATCAACTTGGAGAGTGTCTAGATTAAGACACTTCTCGTATTCGGACTATCAAGATCGACTAAATGAGAGTGTGGCTGACATGGTAAAAGAATTTTATTTTTTTTAGAGAGTAAAATAGAGAATTGGATTGGAGTTGGTTGTCTGAAAAAATAGAAAACTCTATATTTGGAGAGTAAAATAGAGTGTAGGGTTGGAGATGCAAACACAAGCACATAATAACATATATACCCATAAAATGGAAGTAGATTAAACCATACATACATTGAAATATTTCATGCAAAAGTTACAACTAATCCTAGTGAAAAGAAAGATTAATCCATCTATCTCATAGTATATTATAGAATAATTGATACAATATTAGAGTAAAACATAGAAAAAAGAGTAAAAAGGGATCGAAGAAACAAAGTAGAGGAGGGAATGGGTGAACCTGATCATTTACAATTTTACAAATCTTAAATATAATGTGTAAAGTCTTTATAGACAAAAATTAAAATTAAAAAAAAATCGTTATAATCACATGAACTTTCCGTATTCATAAATAATCAACTTTACATAAAGAAAAACAATCCAATATGATCAAATTTATAATACTAGATTTATATTACAATGTGAAATTGACATGAAAATAATATCCATAATCATGAGTTAATTTATCATCTTCAACTATATAAAATATTGAGTTGCTTATAAATTATAATTCATTTCTAATCTCACGTATTAATCGTTTTCAGACTAGGCAATTTTCAACTTACAAGTATCAATCATTGACGGGATCAACTAGAATCATAATAATTTAAAATTGGATCTTATCCTAATTATTATTTACTAGTAAAATTATTCGCGCTTCGCGTGAGAATTTAATATCACAGAATTTATAAAATAATACTTAAAACCTATCAGTCATTAAAACTAAAACACTATATTATCTTACATACAAGATTACGTAGTAACAAACATTAATAATGTAAAGGAAAATGAAATTTATTACTTCTTATTATTTATCCTTAATAACATAAGCATAAATTAATGACTGTAAAAATACATACCAAGATTTGTAACATAAGCAATGGTGTCAGTGAGTCACTCAACATGAACAAAGTACACAAATATTTAATTGTGAAGAAGAAGAAGAGGTTTAGAATTTTCGTTGTTTTAAAATGAGAGGAAATTACTATATTTATAGACAACAAAGGATAGCATGAACAAATGTTTATTGTGCCTTATCGGAAATGTTACAATTATTTAGAAAAGTTGCAACCCTTCGGAAAGGGCATAAATTTCATAAAAGTCACAACTTTTCATAAAAGTTGCAACTCTTCATTAAAGTCGCAAGTTTTCATAAAAATCACATTTTTTCATTAAAGTCGCAACTCTTCATAAAAGTCACATTTTTTCATGAAAGGGAAAGGCTAGTTTTGGCAATAAATAAATTTAAAATGAAATTATGATTTGTGGTGGTGCCACGTAGGCAGATCCAAGGTTTTCTTTTATATATGATATATGATATATGACTGTGCCCCTTAATTAACATATTTCTTTTTTCTATTTACAGAAGAAATTTTGTGTGGTCTAGATTGAAGACTGAATTTAAATATTGACACGTATTTGTGTATATATTTTACATCAAATAGTATGACGAGATACTCATTTAATAAAATTAAAAATTATGACATTGACTATTTATATATAATTAATATACAATTACGTAGCACTTGCGTGTTCTACAGATTTGAAGTTTTAAAAGGCGATTTGCGATTTGCTTCGAGGCGTGGCACCGTAAAATGGTTTAGTTCGGTAAAGACGTACGAGTTACGTTTTTAGTGTTCAACATACATCGTAATTCGTGAATATGTTAAATGCGAGTTTGTTTAAGAAATCTCCGAAAGCTTCGCAAGATCACCTATCACTAGTCTTCGGCCGGAAGGGTTTATTGCACAAAAAGGCCGGGGCGCAGGCTCCCGAAGAGAGAAGCCCAACGAATGTCAGATGCAAAGCCCGATACTTCAACTAGAGGAGCGACCCGTTGGTTCACCAAATCCCGACCCAGCGTCACACATTCTCCAATTTACATAAATTATAATTTATAAGTTAATATTATTGATCCTCATATTTTTAAAATTAATGATATGCTTTATTAAAAGAAGAAATCATCTATAAAAATAAGAAGATTGAGAACTAGTTCAGATCAATAGTAAGTTGTAGTATTACATATTTACTATTTGAGAATATCATAAAGGTGAATATCATGACTTATTTTATTTTTATTTTTATTTTAAAAAGAAGATATAATCAAATTTTACATCTTTACTTATCATTCGTTTTTATGTTTTTGTCATATGACTCAAAATCAACATATTTTATTATTTCATATTTGAAAGTAATTTAATTTTACTC